CAACAAGTACTTCACAAAAGTTTTCATAGACGTTATTACCGTGTATAGCTCAGAAACTTTTATGGCCGAAAATTATCACTACCCCTTTTATTAGCATTAGCAGAGAATACTCGTTTACTATAATCATATAAACCATTGTGTAAGTGATTGGTGTAGTATTAAAATGAATTGTTGGTAGAGTGGGATTGTGCCTTAATAGAAGACTCAATTTTATGTAATAATTCCAATGTAGTAGAGGAGTTAGTATACTCTATTACTTATTCTACTAATGTAAACTAGGCCTAAGGCTATTTAGCAGGTGTCTTAAGCCAGGTACATACTGGTATAATAAATGGGTTAGGTACTTGTACCACTAACTTGCAAGGCAGCTACTAACCCAGTGTAAACTGAATGGGAAAGTACATACTTGTACGAGTACTGACATCAGGTTAGGAAAATGAATACATATCTCATCAGGCCATTTGCTAACCTATTAACCGTCCTCTATTACTCAAAATTTTTTCCCTGTGGACAACTAATCTTTTAGCAAGCTCAAAGGCTTTCAAGTAACATTTTACAGCACATGGTCATTAACACGTTCACTGCCTCGCTAAAAATGGACATGTGTAATTAGAAACGTTGGAGCTCTAATTCTTAAGCACACGAATAGTTAATTTTCAAATTTAAGCTCTCAGTCTTCTATCTTGAATTCTGTACCTGAGGAACAGAATAATTTAAGTCGGTTGTGCAAAAGTTTCCATCGTTTTTTTGCCAAATTTTTCCATTAACATTTTGCAAGTCTTACAATATTTTCTAATCAAAATAATTCCTGTTACTATCTATCACCTTCTGCTACCGATCAAAGAAACCCTGGATACCTTTATAAAAGGGAATAGGAATAACTTACGTTTGAAATAACTAAAAGGTATTAATATCGAGGTTTGTAGAATCAAAAGCATTTACGAATGTAAGTAAATCTTTGAATTCAAAGTATCATCGAGCTCGTGTTACAATTGTTAGCGATTACTGCTTTATAGGGACATTGAGAAGTCATAAACGTAGAAGAGGGGTGGCCAGGGTGAATGAGGAGACCCTAAACGGTTCATCGCGCTGAATAACGAGGGTTTGGAAGACGAGAATTTAACGAAGGGTTGGTAACCGAGCGTAAAAGACATCTATCTTATGTAGTTGAAAGGACGAATGATATTCAATTGGTAGAAAACAGTATTTTAATAAATACATTAATCTGATTTTATTCAAATATTCCAAATATTCATAATCTATGCAAATATATTAATTTCCTTTTTAACCGACTTCGAAAAAGGAGGTTACTCCATTTTTAAACATTTTTTTTAATTTAACATTATCATTTATTTTAATCATTTAAATGATTAACGTACGTTTCGAAATAAGTAACATTTATTTGAAACATTTTTTTGTTTTGCATAGCTAAAAATATAGAGGTTCACTGTGTCCTCTTTTACCTTTAATTAAAAAAAAGAGTAAAGAATTTATATTTGCTATGATTTTGAAAAAAAGTTAGCTGTAGTATTTTATTTGGTCCATTCTATATAAAACATGTTCCATGATACTGAAATATTGTCTAAGTTATTACTTTTTTTTCTTTTTTTGTCAAAAGATTAATGAAACCTTTATTTCTCCTGTTCTATAATTTTTGATAGAAATTCCTTACAACATTACTTTTGTATTACTAATTTAAAAATTAAACTGTTTCACCGTCATATACCGCAGGATAACATAATATGGGTCATTAAATTATGTTAAACTATCATACCATTAAAAAGAAAAGATAAGTTGATGGACATTTAATCCTTTCGTCATTAAATGCGACTATAGTCGCTTGTCACGAAACTACTATAGCATTCTTGTGCAAAGCGTTTATAGTTTGAAATGAGAGCCATGCAATAGAAATTTTAATTAACAAACATAAAAACACCTTTGGAATAAAAGAATTCGCGATACGAATAAACTTTTATCAGCAGAATACAATTACTATATTTATCTTCTGAACAAATAAACCGAAATTTTTCCCCTATTCGTCGCATCTGTAAGATGTTGCTTCATCCAATTTATTGTTGACGCAGAAAATATTTACAAAGATCCCGGTGGTGATTCCAAGAAATGAATACACTGTATTCTTGAATTGTGATATCGAAGGGAATGAAAATGTGTTTATGTTTGATACCCAAGAAACGGCACGAACCGTTCGAACAAGTTAATACCGGCAATCAAAGAGTACGCCGTGAACAAAATGGACCGGCGCGGCACGAGGGTAGCCGTAAATAAGGCAAGATCACGAGTCGAGCGGCGAAATAATGGAATGAAACAATTAGTCGTTCGGAACAACGAGGTTTCAATCAGAAGTCGAGAAGCAGGGGGATAAAAGTTATCTATGCAAGCAGAGAAAAGGGTGGCGGTGAGCGTGTGAACGACTCGGTCGAAACTGTCGGCGCACGCAACCGTCACGAGGCGACCTCGCACTTGGTGGTACAAATGACTCTTCCTATTCGCATACTGCGCCACGGCTGCCACCCGCCCTTATTCTCTCTACCCCTTAACTCGCTACACCCTCGAACCGGGACTTCCTCTTTCCCACTGCCCCCCCCCGGTTCGAAAGAAGAAACGTGTTTAGACCACATGGAACCATCGACGATCTTCCCAGCAGGGGTGGGATCGAGCACGAATCTAAGTCGATTCAAACACCCAAGTCTCAATTTAGAAGATCCGAATGCTACTTGGGAAAATTGTTATTGCCTTACGAAGTATTCAATTCGAACGAAATCGTTTTGAATCTTAAGATAAGTACTTGATTAATTTAAAGGTGCAAGTAATCTGATGGTTACCGAGCCTCTGATGGCTAAGTCATCAGAAGCCTGACACAATTTGATGACAGAAAAGTGTTGTAAAATGTCACTTATGATACATCAATCTGAAGCTTAAAGTGTGTTGAAAATGACTGTACAAAGGATTCATTAATGTTTTGAATATAGAATAGTAGATTATCAATTGTAGTAAACAATGGTCAATTCCAAACCCTATACAGTCTTTCACTATTTACTGATATAAAACTATCATAAAGCAGCATTTACAATGTATAAAGAAGCTAAAGTTTGTTACAAATGACCCATATAAACTTGTCATTACTGTTCTCAATATAAAACTGTTAATTATTAGATAATCTCATTGTGTATTATACACGATAACTCTTTAACAACTAGGTAGTTGATTGCAAAAACTTTTATGAAAAATTGATGTAATCATTTTAAATATATTTTAAGCTTCAATATTTTAACCAATTAACTATGGTTTTGATGTAGTTTTATGTCACTAAATGATGTCAGAGTTTCCATGTTCCAAATCAGCCACTTAATATGCAACAACCTAATACATGTTTTTCGAATGCAATTCATCCAATTGAGGTGGCGGAAAGTTCTCAATCATGGTATGCTGGTGGTTACCAATTACCTACAATGACACTATTACCCGAGGTACATTTGGAAAAATAAGGTTCAATCACAGTCCCTGCCCAAATTCCACACCACACTGTCACTCTGCGAGAATGTAATGGTCGCTGACGAATTAATTGTGGATTTTCGGACAGTAAGCGATAAATTGTGCGTTGGGAAGGTGTATTGATTCTACCAAGAATTAAAGCAATTTTCTCATGATTAATATAAACGAATGTTGATTTTCTTAAAAGAAGTTGTGAAATTAATGAATAATATTAACGAATAATTATATCTATAACAGGAATTAAAATAAAAAACAATTAACTGCAATATGTATGCTTCAATACTCTTCAATTTTTCAATTTCAATAGTAATAGGACAATATTCAAAAGTATTTCTCAAGTCATTTTAAACTTCTTCTCCGCTAGTTTTTATACTTTTGACCCAATTTCTTTTTAGTTTCCGTTCAATGCAGCTTTCCAGTATTTTCACTGCTTTTGTGAATCCCTGCGGTTGACGTGGTAACCCTTAGAAAATAGATTATTGGGAAATCTTATTTTTTGTGTTGAAGAACAATACCGACAGCAGCTGCTGTCAGTTCGAGTTTTATCTTTTTTTTTGTTACATGTGTACGAAAGCGCATTCCGAAGATCGATCGATAATGCATTGAGATTTATGGGCTTAGTTAGTGGTGCTGTCGAATCTTTGCAAGCGTTGGTCAATCTCATGAATCACGATGGATTTGTTTACGAAAGTTACTCGTTGCAGACGCATGTGCGCCGCAATGCTTTGCCATTTCGTATTTGCACTTCAATAATCTATTGCTAATGTGATTCTACTAATGTCATAGACCGTATTAGATTACTGTTATACTAGGTGTCATACATTTTTTGGATAAATTTTGACAATATGTTTTGCAAGTAAGAATAAGACTAAAATGTCATATTACAAAAAATCCATTAATCGTTTGTTATAAAATTAAAAGAAAGTTACCTAATCCTTTTTAAAGTATTTAACCCTTTGTTACAAATAATATTCTATGAAACTTTTCTAGTTTTTAAATATTTGTAATTATAGTAATTTTTTATTGCTTAAAATGACATTTCTTTTCAAAATTAAAAAAGAGTTATAAAATGAAGAGTTAATAATATTGACTTATGTCTATCAAATCACGTGAATCATTTGCATTTTATAAGATTTGACAATGTTAATAGTTACTGAACTATTTAAAATCATTACAAATAAAAATACATATTTATACAAGATTCATATAAACATATGCTCTATTTGATATTCATAATTATTATAATATGTATTCGATTTTGATCGGTTCAATTAAATATTGATTATACGAAATTCGTTATTTAACCAATCATCATAAATAGATAATGGGTAAATTTTCTGGGTTAGAACGTACTACAGGAAAATAAATAATTCCAAACAGAATTAATCAAATAACGAATTTGAAATTTCATATAATGAACATATCCTATTTGATCTTAATTATAAAATATAGTGAATTTTGTGTTGTATCGTTTTATATCTGATTACCTTCATAAACAACGCTAATGACTACCTTGCATTTCAAGGCATCCCGTATCCATCTTATCATTGATTTAATTACTCTCTCCATACTTTTTGCTGTTACTCAAAGCTGTTGAAAACCTTATTTAATTCTATGATGCAGCACTTTAACGTTTTCAACTGGCGTTGTATACACGATGGATTTCAAATACTCACAAGTAAAAATCCAGTAAATTTAACCTCGAGGAACAAGCCACACACTGGGACCTCCACGTCCAATCCATTTATTTGCATTGCATTCTGCAAGCCCATACATCAAATGCATATCAGTCATTTCCAAATTAGAATAACTATCCATTATCGCTCTAAACACAGTGTAATACAGAAGTCTGGCACATAATGCTCTTGTTCACAGAAGGAGCGTTATGATAGTGTAAAAATTATTTAAATGATTATATGAAAAAAATTCATATTTTACGAATTATTGAAGGAAAAAAAATTGAATAATCTTATAGTTATAAACTATATTTCATAAATGAGGTTAAATAGAATATGAATTTATATGAAATATTTTTTCGTTGCTTTCAATACATATATGGCGATTCAGTGGTGATTCAATTCCTAAAGTGGGTCGCATATATTACAGGACACCCTGTATATGCAAGATAATAAATTTGCACGAGATAACTCATGATCTGATTACAGCAGCAGTGAAACTGATACTGAATTGCATTGTGAATAACAAGAGAATATTGAAACAGTTTGATCGGTCGCTTGCAATAATATGTCCAAGACTACAGTTTAGTAAACTATCCGCTCCGATTTTAGTAACAATATGTCCAATCCTATATAAGTTTCATGAAATAGTAAATGTGTTTATAGTCTCTGACTAAAAAATTAGGACCATTCATTATTTTTAACGTATTTCTGTTTTTAGTAAAATTTAAAGACCTGAACGTAATTTAATAACTATTTTTGTAACTGCAAATAATGTTATTAATATTATAATATTTATTATAATAAAATTATAATGAAATAATATTATGTGTAATAACTTCACACGTGTCGAAATCGGTCATTCAATATGCAACAATTTTTTGATTATGTTTTTAGTTTGTTTTATATCATATTGCTACATTCTTCATTATTATGCATTGTTGTTTTGTCAAGTTATTATATAATTTATCCACAATCCTTGACTGGCTTCACTAAGGCATTCACACAACAGGATCGTCGTCAAATGCAGGTCGCAGTTTTGTTTGAAGCTCTTATTATAAACTCAGAAGTAAGAAGGAAGTTGTTCCATTCAGCAACGATAAACTAACTTCTTGAAATAATTGTATAGAATACAATAATATATATTAATTAACATCTGTTAGAGATATCGGGGTCTCCAATTAAGAACTTTGAAACTGGAAATCTTTTTGTTCACTCGTAAAATAATTTAGATAACATTTTCATGGAAACAGAGATTTCTAGTTAAGCAATGAATATCATTAACACATTTTCTTCAAAATAGGTGAAGATCTTTTCAACTAGTATAAAATTTTTAATAAAGTAGGATATTGTACAAATGAATTGTATTGTTTTAAGTTATACTAGGTTTTAATTTGTATTTTGTTTAAAAAAGTACAAACGATATATTATCCCATTATTGACACATTTCACGAATTATTGACTTTTTAAATATTACATCCTAATAGTTTTTACGTAGATAATGCAAAAATATTTTTTAAGCCAAATATGATGGTAGCAAATATTTTTTATAATTTAACGAAGATTGGAATGGCACATCGTGCCAATATCTATTTGGTTCCTGTCCGATTGGTATTGATTGGTAGCTTTTCAAGGGTCATTGGTATTGAAAATTGATATTGACTATCCGAGATTTCGATACCTTTCTGTACTTAGGTTACGTATTGTTTGAGTATCATCAGTATGTATCGTATCAATCCCCTTACCTGTGGTGAAGCATCAATGATGGTATTCAACACTAGCACTCGACGTTCCATTTTGATTACCATTGTTTACATCTCACCATACACAGAGCTACTTATATGTATATTTTGATTTCTATTCTTTTGTATTACAGCATTGTTATGATATTTTAGTATTACTACATATATTTTTATTTTGCATATTACCACAGTGATATATCGTTAAATGACTATAATTTTATATTTCTATATTGCTTAATTTATAAAGGCTTATATTGTGATATTCTTAAATTCTGACCTAGCCACATTACTATACTTTGAGGTTGCTATATTACTGCAATATTATCATGTAATTGTATGGTAGGTTAGCTATAAGATTAATGAGTATATTTAGCTATATACTATATGTACTCTCGTGACTAACTGATTACATCAAGAAATAGAACACTTGCAGAAACCTTGAATTTGATGGAGAGAAAATAAATTCTATCAATATCTAAGCTATAAGTAGATTGCAAGAATTTATCCAAATTTATATATACATTTTTTAAGATACTCATTTTTATTTCCAGTTTTTACACATTTATTATACTGATCCTTTATATGTGACAGAGGATTTACATGTGTTTTGCATACTTTCATATGTAATAAATGCTAGCCATAAGTTTTATAAACAAAAACGTACAAAACATATATAATAAAAATGTCGACCATAAATTACACGCGATCGCATAACGAATGAGACAATTGTAATCGTACAATGCAGTTAAACTTGTCGCTGACAAAAAGATTGAAAAATGACCAAAATTTCATTTAATGGGATAGATAGTTCGTCCGTCCTCTGGTCTTCGTTTCCAGGTAATTCGTATCGGAGAAATTCTCCGGCGAAACTGCCCGAACATGATGCAGCAGTTGATGCAATAGTTTATTAAAAGTTGAAATTGGTTGATGTTCGCCTCGCTCGATTTTCCTTCGAAATAATTCCTACACCGCACGAACCGCCAACCGATCGATCACCGGGCGACCAGGTAAACCCACAACTCATCCTGCAATTATTGTTCCCGATGCCAATAATATCGACACTGAGCGTCGACAACAGAGAACGAAAAAAGAAGCAGGGGGGGTTGCTCGAGAAAAATAGCGGAAGTTTTCAAGAAAGTTAGTCGCGGTAGATACGGGGACGTTCCTTAACGTGTCGACGTAGCTGGCACGAAGGAAAACCGATTACGCGTTTTATCAGGTTTCAAGGTGCACGCCAGGGAACCTCGTTTTGATCTATATCATCGCAAGCAAATTTGGCTATCGCTTATAACCTCGGCTCATTCAGCCTACTTTTGCATAATGCGATTTTTTCATTTTCTCCCACCGTGAAACGAGCTTTCATGTAAGAAGTTTTTTCGTATCAATTAGAAGACAAACTTTAAATCATGATCTTGGCCAGTGTTATTAGATTAGATGATTTATTGCAATTGGGACGACTTTTCTTCTGAAATTAAGATGATTTTATTTAAGAAATCGCAGCTTGCAAATTAGACGATTTCGAATGTTCTAGGCATCGATTTTTTTCTTATTCATTAATCTTTACCTTTGATAGCAGAGTTTGCAAAGTTTATGAAAGGTACTTTAGAACAGAATGATTTTTCGAAATTGGTCCAAACAACTTCAGTTTTTTCTTTTTAAGTTTAAAGAATTAGTTCGTTAAATGACGTGATTTCTTCCAAATTACAAATAAAATACTGAAGGTTTTCTTTTTACTTTTTTATCTAAGTCTGCAATGAATATTAAAGAAAGTATCTTTCGTAGAGTTCTCGTATGACGAAAAGTTAATAGTTAATTTTATGTATGAAAACTGCGTTTCTATTGTAAAACCAGGGGGTAGTGGGATAATGATATGGAGGTCTACGAGTTCGTCTGGTGCAGATTTTATTTTCATTGAAAATACCATGAGCAAATACGGTTACTTGATTATTTTAAAAAGGTGCAGGGAAATTAAATTTAGAACAAAGTTACTTTTTACAATACGATAATGATTCCAAATCTCTCAAGGTGAGTTTTGATGCCATTTTTTTCTTTCAAATTGCTATAAAACGCTCTAATTGCTAGTCATTCTGTATTTCTTTTAATTAATTTAATACCTGAGTATGATCCATTCTTACAAAATTATGTTCAATTAAAAGCTTGTTTTTCTGAATAGTTAGCCACATATTAGTCCACAACTGTTTAAAGGGGTAGCCAGTTTCTGTACACTATATAAGCCTAGCAAATTTGAAAGTTACTTATATAAGGAACGTATATGGTTTGGAATCGAATCGCGATGGCAATAAACGAAGTAGACGTTCCAGCTCGTTGTTATTTGTTTCTGGCGCACTCGTTTCTGATTGCGAATGGATAACGTGAAAGCCAGCTCCGAGTGAGCAATCCTAGAAACTAGTGGAGATTACTCCGTGACAATTAAACGGGGAAAAACTACGGCAATTAAAAGCGACCACTACCGTATGTACAGTTGGTTACAAAAGTAATTGCCCATACGAATTGGAGGAGACATTTATTTTAACGTACGAATTCAAACTACCATAGATATAATAATCTAGCGGAGACAAAAAATCGATAAGAAATAGTTCGTTTTTACGGAGTTTGACCACTGCAACTAAATACAATTTTTAGTAATTTATTTCACCATTTTTGCTTCTTACAAAATTTTATCAGTTTGTTATTTTCCAATGAAGCAAACAGAATAGTAGAATAGATAACTTTGATTACATTCTGAACTAACTTGAAATCGATTCACGCTCGAGACAATCTACACAGTTTAATATTGGCAAATAGAGAAGTTAGGCCAAACAATAGAAACACTTGTTATGTATACACGATTCCACTATTAACATGTTGAATTTTAGTAAAAGCAATATAAATTAGTTTCATATATAATGAAACAACAATTAAAAAATAAAAATACAAAAGAAAAGAACATCTCCGCTGTGACATACCGTGTACATGATTCTGTTCTATACGCAAACATTTATATTGAGACTAACTGAAAAATTAGGTGTCCGGGAGGTGAGAAATTCGGCTAGTAGGAGACGGTTAGTAGGTAAGTAAGTAAATAGCCCTGGTAAGCTATTCACCTTCCTGTCCTCGCTGCTGGCGCAAGTAAGTATGTAATACTTGTCCAAGTTCTTTCCCGCTCGGTTTACACTGGGTTAGTAGCTGTCTTGCAGAAGTAACTAACCCCTTTAGTACGCCAATGTAAAGCCGGCATTACGCGGAAGGACAGGAGGGTATCATTCTTCCGAGACCGAAGACGAAACGGTGGGGAGGCTGCTTCCTCTACGATTCCCCTCAACCGAAGGAAGCCTACATTGC